TGCTAAAGAAGGTGGAGGAACTTAATCATATTCATTCGGTATTCGGGTATTCGTTTTACCCTTTTGTGGAAGAACTTAATCACCGAACGATACTCGACGTTTTCCATTTCTCCGAAAACACAAAATGAGCTTGCTTTTGACGGATGTAAAAACCAAACTAATCGTTTTTTAAAAACTTAAAATTTTGACAGGCGTCATGTCATGAATGGCTAGTTAATATCAATATATCCTCGTATATTATTATTTCAAATATAAATTTATTGTGTCTACTCCGTAAAAAGAAATTATAAATGTGGCAAGACTGCGAACGAATATAGAATTCCAATTATTACGAAGATGTATGAGTTGTGTTGACAATTTGCATAAATTATGTTTTATTGTAATATTTTGATTTTTTCATGATTTAACAGCATAAATATAGGTATTTAAATTTATTTAAACAGGTTTCATATGATTCTGTAAGCAGTTTTATATTTTTAGAATACTACGACATTTTCATTAATCTTTTCCACTTTTGAAAGGTACTTTTTGTAATTGCCGAAAGAAAAACTATAACAAAAGCTTTATTCACTTTTTTGGCTTCCAGCAAGTCCATAAAAATTCCAAAAAATAGTCTTTCGTCACTTTGTCGTGGATATAACATTCGTAAAAAAATGCTATTTTCGTCCTCAAGGATGCTTTAAAGTCCGTCAACATAGAGTGGTCCAAGCCGACGAGGTTGGGTCTGACACTAGGTCATCCATCTAATATTATAATAATCCATTTTCATAATTTAATTCCATTTCCAGTTATCTTCCATTTATTTATTCCAATTGTAAGTCTAGATTATCGTCTTTCCAAGTTGTATTCGAGGTAAAACGTAAGTATATATTCTTACAATTAGAATGCCGGCATCAACTATTATCTACTACTTTTTCGTAGGTAAAGGAATTGTAGATAGTAATAAAAACATAGTATTTGTCACAGACACTAATACGTCCAGCAAAAGGAGTGTATTCTCGGGTTACAAGTCATAACGGGAAAGAAGTGAAAGCAAAGTGAAGTAAGGTAGCACTTGCTACAACAGCAACGTCCCGAAAGAGCTCTCCTGGGCCTAAAGCCCTATGGTGGAGAGTGCCTGGTCAGGCAACGGATTGGCTGAGTACTGGAGCTGAAAAGAGTGATTGTTTGCAAGTACCACCGCATATTTGTTTGAAAACAACGTTTTGAAACTGTGAAACACTTTGAAACTGTGAAAACCTTTTGAAACACTGTTTTGAAAATTATATATCGACACTTTCAGTACAACCGCCAATAGCAAATTTTTAGTATTAACGAGAGATAGGGCGATGCGATGGGAAGTTTATTCCGCAGGAAGTTAAACACAGTTAAAGGATAACAAAGCGACAGGCCCGTGATAATATACAAGCAGAACTACTCAAACTAATGGACAACGAATCAATAACAATAATCGCAAAGATATTCAACAACATTCCAAAAAAAAAACAGGAACCAAAAAATGAGAAGATCACCGTACTATAAGCCTCATGAGTCTTATATATAATGAACAACAGAAGAGAGACTAGAAAATTTTACAAGGAAACCAAGCAATACACCCAAGGATACATGACAACATCAACAGTTTACAAGGACAAAAATGGGGCAATTATCAGCGAGAAAGAGGAAATAATGAAAAGGTTGAAGGAGCATTTTCAAGAACTGTTAAACCCAGAAAGAGAACAAAACGAAGATGAGGAAATCCATCACACAGCAGAACAACTAATTGAGCAACCACCTTTGGAAGAAACGGCAAACGTCATACAACATCTAAAAAATAACAAAGCACCTGGCACAGATGGAATAACTGCAGAACTGATAAAGAATGGTGGACATGCGCTATGGAGGCGTATCCATAAACTAATCGACCGCATATGGACACTAGAAGTCATCCCAGAAGATTGGAAAGTGGGAATCATACTTCATATGTACAAAGGGGGAGACAAATGACTCTGCAAAAATTATAGGGACATAACGGTTTTAAGTATCGTCTACAAGATATTATCAGGAATTATATAGAGCTGCCTGGAATCGTTTTCGGAGATGATCTGTGAATACCAATGTGGCTTCAGACCAAAGAGATCAACTATAGACCAAATACATATGTTAGAGGTATACATGAAAAATGTGTTGAATATAACATACCTATTTACAACTTGTCATATCAATTTCAAACAGGCAATTGATGGACTAGATCGACAAAAAATGTTTAAAGCAACTATCTATGTTAGGGATACCCAATAAGTTGGTTAAACTTGTACGAATGACTCTGGAGGGTTCCAAAGCTATGGTGATAGTAGATGGAGATATGACGCAGGCCTTTGATATTGAAAATGGAGTTAGACAAGGTGATGCCTTAGTAACACATCCAAAGCCGGCCACTCATGATACTTCGACGTCGTTCAATTTTATCGAGTTCGACTAATTGACAAACCTTTTGATCGTCTGTAACCGTGCATCCAACAAAATCGTTACAATTTTACCACTGAGAAACTGGTTTCTATGATGCAGTACTGCAGAATTGATATCATCGACGATTTTGTCGAACGACACCGCAGTATCGTGAGTGGTCGGCTTAACTTTAGAAGCTGTTGTTAGAAAATCGGACATAAATGGCTGTATTAATACAAGATCAATGCAAATATGCGGATATGCGTATGATTTTGCCATAATAAGCCGCAACAAAAGGGTTATTAAGCGAAAAAGTTATAGAACTGAAACGAAAAGCTGCTACGTTTGATCTATATATAAATGAAAGCAAAACAAAAAGCATGGAGTGCACAAAATCAAATCAACATGAGAATCTGAAGGTAGAAACCATACCTACAAATATGCCTCCCTACTTAGGCTCAATAATAAATGACACATCAGTCAATAAATACAAGCACAGATTTTAGCGGTAATAATGAAAATCAACTGAGAATATTTGAGCGCAAACTACTAAGGAAAATATTTGTACTAACCCAATGCAGCGATGGTGCGTGGAGAATTAAAATGAACCACGAGCTGGATGAACTAATGCAGAGAGCAGATATTGTTGGATTTGGAAAGTCACAAAGACTAAACTGGCTTAGTCACCTAGAAAGAATTCCAGATAATTGAGCTGCAAAAGTAGTGCAGAGATAGAAGCCCCAAGGAAACAGAACAAGAGGAAGGCCCCGTAAAAGATGGATAGATGACGTAGAGAAGTATCTTAAAACCATGAACATGCAGGCCAAGACTCACAAAGGGTTGTAGCGCCATTAGAAGAAGAAGAGGAAGAAGCTTCATGAGTCACCTCCTAAAATTGTCCCTAAAGATAATTCATAACATAATCTACAACCTGTCAAATTTCCCCCAACCAGTTCGGGTTCACAAATGTTGTTAGTACTAGAGAAGCTTGAGGCTTTGTTCTCAGTACAAGTCTTATTCCAGAGATGCAGAGACGTCAACTGCGACGTATACGCATGTCTCGTTGATTATGAGAAATCGAGTACAACATGTCAAGATGATGGAAATACTAAAAGAAACAGAAATTAACAACCAAGACCTGAAAATAATTAGAAATATTTACTGGAATCAGACAGCAAATCTCAGAGTTAAAGGTGAAGACACTGACTATGTAAAAATCATGCGTGGAGTGAGGCAAGGCTGTATTTTGTCTCCTCTGATCTTCAAACTGTACTCTGAAAGAATATTTATGGAAGCTTTGCACGAAACTGAAAAAGGTATTCTACTAAATGGTTACCGGCTAAACGACAACAGATATGCAAATGACACAATAGTATTTGCGAACAACTTAGAAGACCTACAAGTTCTTATGAACAAAATAACGTATTACAGTCAACAATATGGACTCAATATAAACGTTAAGAAGACAAAGCTTGTGATAATTAGCAAGAAAAGGATAAGAGAAGGTCAACTCTACGTCGACCAATCCCTGTAGAAAAAGTGACGCACTATAACTACCTCAGCACCATAATAAGTGAAGAATGGACCAACCACCAGGAGATTAGAGCACGCATCGGAAAAGCTAGATTCACCTTCAATAGGATAGGGGCCTTCTTCAAAAGTCACAACCTCTCTCTTGATACAAAAGTAAGAATGCTGCGATGCTACGTCTTCTCTGTCCTTTTTTTATGGTGTGAACGAAGATATGTGCCGAAAACTGGAAGCATTTGACATGTGGCCATATCGGAGAATGCTTAAGATCCCGTGGACGGACCGAGTCACAAATAAGGATGTCCTCAGAAGAATGAATAAGAACCGAGAGGTACTGACCACCATCAAATCTCGAAAGTTACAGTTGTTTGGACATATTATGCGAAATGAATCCAGATATGCTCTCCTTCAAGCCATCCTGCAAGAAAAAATATTTGAAAAAGGAGGTCCAGGAAGAAGAAGAACATCTTGGTTAAAGAACCCCAGAATCTGGTTCAATACAACATCTGTGCAGCTTTTTTTCGCGCTGCTGCAGATGAGATAGAAGATGTTACAGAAGATTGCCATGATGATCGCCAACATTCGGATGCGTAACGGATAGGCACATCAAGAAGAAGAAGATGGGCGATGCGCGTCCAAAATCCGCACTAGATCCAATCTAACGCCGTATGGGTTACTAGGTTCTTACCGTTATATTTTTCTGTCATATTAAATTAAAATTTTATATTAAAATTTAAAAAATAATCCAGAGGGAGCTAGTTTCAGAAGATACAAAACAGTTGCAGTTGACTGCAAACTATACACTATATATCAACATTATTTTTATATTAAGGTAACATTAAAATTTGCTGGAGTAAAACCAACCAATCAAAATTATAGTTAATTAAATTTACTGTTTAAAACAGATGATTTCTGTGTTTTACAATACGTATATCACGTGTAATATTTGTATATAAATGTCGGTCACCATCGGTTCTTGTCGGAATAGAACAGGTGTCTATACAAGATAATAACAAATAAACCATGAATTCTTTTGTACTTACCCAAATCTGAGATATTAACTTTATCAAGAAAGGGGTCCACGGCAGGTAACTGCAACAAACGATGTAAATTAGATACAAACATCTTCTTTAACATAAACTTGTACATGACTGAAACGTTCAACTATTGCCAGAGTTACGTGATAACTATTACAACAAAATGCACGAAACCATTCTAAAACATGATATGCAACCAAATCGTATATAATTAAAAAAGATTATTCTTGTATGACGCATACCACGCGACGAGCGGGTTGATGTGCTTTCCAATATTTTTTAATGACAATGAGTTGTCATTAACTAACAATTCTTAAAGAGTTGTTAGTGGAATTATTAATACCGACACACGAACGGGATTTTCAAACGATATATCCTGCAGATCGTTTAGTTAATTGCAAAATGTTTTAATATTGTATTTACGTCGAGAGGAGTTTGGCTTCAAACTGAATCTATTATCGACAAATCGCAGTAAAAATGATCGCATTGTAGTCTTCAGGTAATAGTAAAGCATAGGAAAAAAGTAACATGAAAAATTTTCATATTATAAAACAATAACTGATATAAAAGGCTGAGGAAGTTATTCAATAAAGCCATAGTAACCGGGGTGTTGCTTTCAGGACATACGATGGTCATCTACCGGGTGGTGAATCGTCAAACGGGCCATAGGAAACTTAATGGGAAATTTTAAATTGTTGAATTGCTGCTTCCCTAATTATTTTACACCAAAAGTCATGGGAAACTACTTGTAGAGGACTTAAAATCTGAATTATAGTGTATTTTTATGTATGAGAGAGTAATAAAACAATAAATTATGTATGCAAATCCCTAAACTGTTGATACGGGTGACTCAATGAAAAACAGATATTTGTCAACAAGTTTACAGAAGTATATAGGAAAGGAATTTTAAATTGAGTATGACCACCAGGTATAAAGATTGGAGCAGAATAGAATGCAATAGTTGTGAGGGTTACTAATCCCTAAATAAGGTTGCCAGTGTCGGAGTGATGGAGGTTAACAGGTACTAATGAATTTGCAAGAAATGTAAGATGTTTATTTTATTGGTTATATATAACCAATAAAAGTTTAATAAGTACCTACCTATTTGCAAAATAAAGTTTAATTCTTTAGATAAAATAAAACGTTTTATTTTATCTGAAATGAGTGCATTTCACGAAGTAAGGGTTTCAACAATCAAACATTTAATTCTTTAATTCCAGGAATCTACGACAGTAATTGACTAGATAATTACCTTCTAAACTTATTCCACAGAAAATGTGATAGTGGGTTTTTCCATTTTGTAGGAAGGTCCAAGTGGCGTATTCAAAATTCTTAACAGTTCACTAAAAGTAGGTACTTCAGTTGCAAGGTGCAGTTTATTGTGTATACTAGTGTTATGGAAAATTTGGAAGTGCCGTGTAAACGCCGAAAAATTGGTCCTTTAACAGTTAATGAAAAAAACATTAATATTTAATTGTTTTAAATCATTTACAGACAAACGTTTATGTGAAAGTGTTGATGAGACCGTTGAGTTAGTTAGCAGTACACTTGGTGTTGGGAAATCTACGATTTACAGAGTTATTAAAGAAGAGAAATGTGGTAGTTTTCAAATGCCACGTAATGCTCCAGGGAAACCAAAATTTCAAATAGAATATCATTTTAAAGAAGGACTTCGACGGAAAGTGCATGAATTCTTCTTTAGACAAGAATTTCCAACATTGGATAAAGTTCTTGTCTCAGTTCGAGATGATAAGGATTACCCAGAAATGAGTCGAAGTACGTTATGGAAACTTTTAAAAGAAATAGGCTTCCGCTGGAAAAAGAATCCCAGAAAGTCTATTTTATTAGAAAGAAGCGATATTGTCATATGGAGAAGACATTTTCTAAGAACCATAAAGGAAATGAGAAACCAAAAAAGAAAAATATTTTATCTTGATGAAACATGGATCAACGAGGGTCATACACCAAATAAATTTTGGCAGGATGAAACTGTTACAAGTCAAAGGCACGCTTTTGTAAATAACTTATCTACTGGTTTAAACCCACCATCAGGAAAGGGACGCAGGCTGATAATAGTACACATTGGCAGTTCAGACGGTTTTGTTGAAGGTGGTTTATTAACTTTTGAATCAACTCGTACCGGTGACTACCATGAAGACATGAACGCTGATGTCTTTCAAGAATGGTTCGAACAAATGATAGATCTTCTTCCTAAGAACTGTGTAATAGTAATGGATAATGCAAGTTATCACTCCAGACTTATAGAAGGACTGCCCACAACCAAGTGGTTAAAAAAAGACTTGCAGAATTGGCTGAGTTCAAAAAATATTACGTACCATCCCGGATCTATAAGAAAGGAACTTTATTCGTTGTGTGCCCTTCATAAAGAAAAATTTAAAAAATACGAAATTGATGAAATTGCCAAAAATCGTGGAATGACAGTACTTAGATCCCCACCATATCATTGTGAATTAAACCCGATTGAACTGGTATGGGCACAGATAAAGAGTGAAGTTTCAAGAAAAAATACCACTTTTAAAATTCATGATGTTAAACAGTTGTTTTTGGAGGCCGTAAATAATGTAAAACCTGAAAACTGGGAAAAGGCAGTAAATCACACTATTAAAGAAGAGGAAAAAATGTGGAAGCTGGACAATATTACTGATAAAATGATCGAGCCAGTTATTATAAATCTTGGTTCTGAAAGTTCATCTTCTGAATCTGATTTGGATTTGTAACAAGTAGCTGTAAGTTTTATATTAATATTTTTATTCATCTATTTAACATACCTTAGACGGTTTTAAAAACTCTTTTTCTCTTTTGTAATTTTTAAAAATTAAAAAAAATGTGAATTTTTTAAAACCCTTTTTAATGTAGGCCAGTCAGTTCTAATATAGTGTGTGATAAAAGAGGTCACTTTTGTTTACATACACATAACACTTTATAACACTGAAATAATTCATTTATTTTTTACAATTATTCAAAGTAATTTTTCAATTAATCTTGAGCACGCCCATGGAGTGGTCGAAGGTACCAGTTAAAATTATGCTAATTACTCTCTCGTTCATAAAAATAAACTATAAAAACAAATGTTAAAACCGTTCTACGAATCTAAATGTACTTCAAAATTTTGTAAAAATATAATACATTTTTCAGGCCACCCCTAAAAGTTAGGCCACACGTAATGCAAGAATATATATTAGGACGTGTGTGTTCTATCATATTTATGTCAGATGCTTGACAATTTGAATTGTCAATTTTTTTTATTTTATGATTAAATTATAAATAATGAATTTTACTAAATACTACTACTACTACTGAACAACAAATATTACTTGTGAACAATAAATTATATTGTTTACAAATCGATCAATATAATGAAATGTACTCAGTTGACGAAAAATCGCATAATTGTGTATACAGGCAATAGCACGAACCGTTTCCTGCCACTACGGATCTTTATTTAACGTAATATATTCTAACACACTAAAATTTAATTCCATGTTAAGTTATACAATAATTCAATGAATTCCAATATACTGTTACTGTGATCTTTATTCCTAAAAATAATTTATGATAATTTCGAAACATAAAACCATAACAAATGTTATAATAAAACATGAATAAAACATTTTTATTATTGCTTTTTTCTCCTCCACTGAGTACATTTTTTTAATGAACTTAATTTTTTTTAACCAATAAATCACAAAATTTTGGCCATTTAAATCATAGATAAATATAATATGTTGATTTAAATTTTGTCAAATATCAAAAACATCAATATGACAAAACGCAATACGTAATACACATTTTTTCATGGCGTCTGGCCGGACTTTTAGGGGTGGCCTGAAAAATGTATTATATTTTAGCAATATTTTGGAATAAGTTTAAATCGTAGAACAATTTTAACAGTTGTTTTCGATACATATTTGAGTCCTCTACAAATAGTTTCCAATAGACTTTTGGTCTAAAATAATTAGGGAAGCAGGAATTCAACCATTTAGAATTTCCCATTGAGCTTTCTATGGCCCGTTTGACGATTCACCACCCTGTATATAACATATGAGGCATCAGAAAGGGAGTATAATGTCCATGTTCAATCTAGAACCCGCTGCTTTCTTCCTTTCGCCTTGAGTATTATGATAGACAAAGAAATAAGCAAGACGCCTAAAAATAAACTTAAAGCAAATGACATAAAACTAAAGACTATACATATATACAATTAGTTCTAAGAAACCCTTTATATCTACAAATTAAAAGACACGTGACAAACATACAAAATCCAGTACCTATTTAATCCGGAATTATTAACCAAAGGTGAATGAATTACTGTAAAGCAGCTGTGCGTACGAACTTTGGATATCTATATATCACACACCGCTTGTCTACGGATGAAATCATAACAGGAGTATGTTAGAATATGATATCTCAGGAAATTCTAGAATCGCAAGGCAATAGAATACTTCTGTTTATAGATTATAAAGTTTAATTAAACAGCCAAACAATGTTATACATATATACACGTAAACAGCACTTGATATAGCAGCAATGTAATTTTGGCAACAAATAGTACGGGTTCAGACTACGGAGGGACTTTGAATTGAGTAGGAGCCTCTCAATACTTTGTGTAAGACAGACTGGGCGGGGGATATCCTCAACTCCGAAACGGCGCGTCCCAATGGCTGATAGGGAATGTTCCTGCAGATATGCAGGGCAGGTACAATAAGGCTTAGCCAAATAAGTACCCGCGGATCAACTGAGGGCATGGCATTAGGTAGCAGTGATGCCATTACTGAATCAAGGCTGTTAGAACGACATCTAGCAGGTTTGACGACAGACACCCACAGGCGGCAATCCCATAATGATTTAACTGGCTGTGATACTGCGGTGCAGAAAGCAATGGGAAACTACTGCACTAAATCTCCCAAGAAAAGCTTAATGACAAATACAAATCATATTACGGCCCTGAGTCTCCGGCGTCCCTTTAATGGGACAGGGGTGCTAAGAATCTCCGGAGGGAAAAATAAAAATAGAAAACCCGTATATATGTGCTTCATTGATTTTGAAAAGGCATTTGATCGCGTTCAGCATACCAGACTAATTACCGCCTTGCAGAGCATCCAACTAGATGAGAAAGACATCAAACTTATTGCCAAACTTTACTGGAACCAAACAGCTATTATTAATACCAACAACAGAGAATCAAAGCCAATCAGTATTGAACGAGGCGCAAGACAAGGCTGTATACTATCTCCCACCCTCTTTAACGTGTATTCTGAGAATCTATTTAGGGAAGCTTTAAAAGATCAAAAAGGAATTATCATAGGAGGAGAAATAATTAACAATATACGGTACGCCGACGATACTGTGATTCTAGCTGAAAACATCGACGATCTGCAGGAGCTAATCAATAGAGTTGACATGGAATGCACAAATTGGGGACTGTCGATAAATATCGATAAAACTAAATACATGGTGACCAGTAAAGTGGATATCGGCGCAACCCAACTGATATTAAACCAACAACCGCTGCAGAGAGTTCAGAGATTCAAATACCTTGGATGTTGGATTACCCAAAATCTAGATCCATCCTTCGAAATTCGATGTAGAATTGAACAGGCTAGAAACTCATTTCAGAAATTCAAGCCTCTATTATCCAATAACTCATTAAATTTGGAAATCCGTCAAAGTTCACAAGATGTTATGTGTGGTCTGTACTTTTGTATGGATGTGAAACTTGGACTTTAAATGCCGATATCATAAATAAAATCATGGCGTTTGAGATGCGGTTGTATCGAAGGATACTAAAAATTCCATGGACTAGCAGAACCAGAAACGAAGAAGTTCTTCGAATAATGGGACATCAACGAACTCTATTAAATATTATTAAAATTCGTAAACTAGAATATCTTGGACATATAATCAGAGGACCAAGATATGAGTTCCTTCGGCTAATTCTCAACGGTAAAATCGAAGGAAAAAATGGATAGGACGGAAGAAACTCTCTTGGTTGAGGAATTTGCGGCAGTGGACAGGTTTGACAGCGGACCAATTGCTACACGTAGCGCAAGACCGAGATCAGTATAACAATATTATAAGCATGGTAGTCGCCGACGTTCCGTAGGGATATGGCACTCTAAGAAGAAGAAGTACAGGTTGTACATTACCCCAATAGAACGGTAAAACCAGGTACCGGAAACGACATCTTCTTCGAATTACAGGAACAAAAGTATTGGCGAGGTAGCAAGTGCTACCCCGTAACTCAAACACACACTGTGTAGTTTGGCAAATAGAACTCGGTTGGTTCAAGAGCTGTTTTTTACAAGTTGACGCTACTTGGGGCGATAATTGCCCAAGCGATCTGCAAATTTAACGAAAGCCACTCATTTATCTATGGTTTTTTGTTCAAAACATAGCATAAATCACCACTCTATTAATTTGCAACATTGTATCAACAACCGTTTGATTGTTCGATAGTGTCTTGGTTTTTGTAAGCGAAATCTTGGCTAACTATACGGAAGGAATCATATCTAGCAACAACATCTGTTAACATTTTAATAATGTTTATATACGATTGCGAAACTGAAAGACGGAGAGTGGAAAAAATATAAAAACACACGGGCGGAATACGAATACCACGGAAGTACTTCAGGAAATTGAAAGCATTCATGTATGTGCTAGACTTCCTAAGGGTGCTTTCAAAGAGAGAAACACAAACAATTAACTCACTCCTAAATGAGAAGGGCGAATATACAAATACAGAAAGCTTTCAGGGTGCACGTCCTTGGATCACAAATAGTTGAATCACCAATTGATGGAATCACCAGGTAACCAGGTTTTGCTTCTTCTTCTTCTTCTTGTGCCGTCTCCCTACGGAGGTTGGCAATCATAATGGCTATTTTTATTTCAGAACTTGCTGCTCTAAACAAATCAATCGATCTGCATTGATACCAATCACGTAGATTCTTTAACCGTGAGTTCTGCCTTCGGCTAACAGATCTTCTTCATTGAATCTTTCCCTGTATTATAAGTCTCAAAATTTCATATTTTGGTTCCCTCATCACGTGTCCTAGGTATTCCAGCTTTCTAGTTTGTATAGTGGTGATTAGTTCTGTTTCTTTACCAATCCTCTCCAGTACTTCTTCATTTGTAATTCTATCAGTCAATGATATTTTTAATACTCTGCGATATAACCAGTGTTCGAAAGCCTCGATTCTTTTTAAATTGCATTTTTTAATGTCCAAGTCTCAGCTCCACATAATAATATTGAAAATATATAACAGCGAATGGTACGTAGTCTGATCTCCAAATTTATATTTTTGCACGGTAGGAGTGGCTTCATTCGTATAAATGCTGATCTGACAATCTCTATTCGCCTGTTTATTTCTACAGTATGATCATTGATTTCATTGATCAAAGTTCCCAAGTACTGATATTTTTCTACTTGTTCTATCAAGTTACCATTGATTGTCAATAGGTGATGTATAGTTTGTGGTCCTTTTGTAATTAGCATGTACTTCGTTTTTTTAGAGTTTATAGTAATTCCCATCTCAGCACTATTCATACTCAAGCTTTCGATAAGATGTTGTAGATCCTCTATAATCGTTGCTATGAAGTTGTTAATTAATTTTCCGTTAACGGTGACTCCCGCTTTGATATTATTGAGCGTGTTTTGGAAAATTTCTTCAGAATATAAGTTAAACAAAAGTGGCGATAAAACACATCCCTGTCTAACTCCTCTACATATCCTCATTTCTTCTGAGTATTGCCCATCAATTTGAACTATGGCAATTTGGCTCCAATATAATGTTTGCACTATAATTATGATTTTACTGTCAATGCGCTTGTTCATAAGTATTGATATTAGTTTTTCATGTCTTACTTTATCAAAAGCTTTTTCGTAGTCAACGAAGCACAAGTGTGTATCAACATTTACATCCCAGATTTTGCAGAGAGCCTTAAACTCAATAAACTCATACGAACAGTATAAATCACCAGGAATGGATGGTATTTATCCAGTGTTGTTACAAAAGGGGCCGGTTTACTGCAGAAAATGCAATATACTCTTCTGAGCATACCTAAATCATGGAGACAAATTAAAGTGACAACGTATCTAAGATCAATAAGCCCACAAAAGACAGAGAAACTGCTCGACGGGTATATTAGGGATGAAATCTTGATGCACAGCTCAATACATCAAGAACAACATGCCTATAGAGTAGAGGACCGAGATAGCACTCCATAGAAAAAAAGTGAAGAAAACAATTAAAAATAAAGAGTTGATGCTGGGAGACTCTTTGGACATAGAGGACAATACTTCGAAAATATAAACCAATGCCTAACGTAAAGGAATCGAGGATATTTGTTTGAACTGGATAGAATATATGCTTAGGAATAGAGTTGTAAATACTACCATCCTGAGAGAGACCACGCTGGCCCTGGTCGTCATCGGCTGCTAGCAAGGGAGTTCTGCCCCCCTGCTGTGAAATCTGATGACGGCTGGACTGTTTGAAAGTTTAAAGGGAAATAGTCATAAAACAATTGGATATGCCGATGATTTGATAATCATCGGCATATCCATGTAATGATACAAGATTGAGAGCCTACAGACTCACAATCTTGCATCATCCAAAGACTTCTTTAATGTGGAATCGGATCATATGGCAAGAGAAGAATTTTAAGAATTCATACAGAGTGTCTATTCCATGTATGGGATCCAAAACTGGAGAGGAGGTGGGAACAAGAATATACTCCAAAAATTCAAGAGGAAGCAACAGCGGAGATTGACGGAAGCAAGAACTTGCTAAAAGAGGATCGAACGAAGCAATCGGACTAGATATGACGCTGGGAGTAACAAAAGGCTGCAATCCGAAGGGTCGTAGAAGACTGGAACCCCAGAAAGTGATAAAACGATATTGATAATCATAAAAAAAAACAAATGGGAAAATTTTCATTGGTGGACCATGTACAAAAATAGCACAGGAATTGACATGGCACGCTCCAGTAAGAGAATTCCTGATTAAAATAGGAATTTAAAATAGAGACCTTAACTGTAGACCTTGCGATAAGAAACCAGAAACTTTCAAACATGTATTATTATGCAATTGAGACGCGCTGATCCGCAAAAGACAAAAACTATATGTAAAACCAAGAGGAGACTCCGTTATATTTAGGGCACACCAAGCAAAGACCTATACAAACTTATACAGGATACCAAAATTCTAGACTGAGTGTAGTCAATAAAAATGGGCAGCAAAACCCACATAAGCTTCATCAGAGCGATTTTTAAAACGATTTACTTATCGATCACCATTTTTCTTCTGTTGGTGTTTCTTCTTTGTTGAACGTTGGTTCTCATAACTTGGTTGTCAGCTGTTATGAATAAATGCAATTTCAGCCCACTGTCACATTATTTAGCCATGATGTCCTTTCCGCCCCTCAGTCATTTTGCCTTTTATCTTCACTTTCAAAATTAATCTGAATATTGTAATATTTTCTCTCTCATACTTTCGTCATATTTTTAGAGGTACTATATCAGATATAAGTGAAACAACGTGAATTATGTAACTAAAATATTAACAGTTGTGTAGAATGAAAAATCCCTCACAAAAATTTCTGCTATTCACAATTCAAAAAAAAACTTACCCCTCGGGAATCCCTGAATAATATGGCCGCATGATGTGGATCTAAGAAAGCGTCTGATGCTCTGTGGATATTCGGTATAGGTCCAATTGACTGTCTTCGGCGTTCTGGATCAAGAGACCTCTGACGTAAATGAGCACCTGGAACAACAAAAATAAACGTTCAATAATTACAGTATTATAAACAAATAGATCAAATAATAATTTAAAATTTACTATTATAAATAATGCAAAAACGCCAAAATGGTTCAATTTTTATTACAACACTTCCCCAAATCGTGCTAGACGTGGTAGACCAGCGTTGATCTGATTATAAACCAAGAAAATGGTGTAACTCTCTTGGGAACAATAAAATTAAATAGAAGAGAAATTCCTGCATGTTTCTCTAACAATCAAGGACTACCTATTGGCTCTAGTAAATTTGGGTTTGGTTCAAGATGTCAATTAGTGTCATAAAAACAAAAAAAACAAAAACGTTCTGTTATATACCACTATGCACGATGGGAACGACGTTGATCCTGTACCGTAGATAAATTATGCGCACGTTGTAGTAGAATATGGCCTATGGTTGTCTTGTACAGCTCTTAAATGCTACAGCAATAAATTCCTTTGTTATTTACAATTGTAACATTCCAAATTCCACAAAGACCCGACGAGAAGTTTTGACAACTGTAGCATTTAGCCTTAAGAAGAATCGAAGCCAAAATGTCCATATATCCAAGACAATAAGGATTCGACTAAAGGAGATCTGTCATTTGGATAAAGATGTCGTGCCTGTTCAAAGAGCTTCGGGTGTAATTGGGAGATGTGGTAACTGCATTTAAAAAGCATCGAAAAACGAAATATTTTTGTTCGATTTTGTTCGTATATTTGTTTGGAACATATAAAACCAATTTGCAATGACTGTAACAATATTCCGGCTTAATTTTATTATGTTTTTTGCCATCTCTTACATTTTATTATGATAAGTGAAGTAAATGTTTTATTTTTGTTTAAGATAGTTCTTGAAGACTGATATGTTATGCTCTAATTTTAAATTAATTGTAATTTGTTTAGCAAAAAGGAGAATAAATCAAACTATTACAAAAATTGTGGACTATTTTTTGTTACTATGTAAATAAACATTTCAAATAAACAAAATATATCAATAATAATAAACAATGTTAAAAAAAAACTACAAACAATAGATTTTTTGTGTTGAAATTTAACCCTTAAGTACCATGGCGGGGTCAAAATTGACCCCCTTTTTAATGCCAAGTTTCGCTACCGAAACATAGATTGAGCATTGCGCGCTTTCTGCTAATCTTCGACCGGTAGGTGATTTATCGATCTACGAAAATTTCGTTAGTTTATCTGTTACTACTGCACAGTTAGGCACGCATAGGATCAATTTTGACCCGCTTATGGTATAAGTGTTTCTAGTGCAATTAACGAGTAATTTGAAATGGCGGGGTATCAGCAGGGCCTCTGACACAGAAAGAACTTTAAGAGGAGGGACAAAAAATTATGGACAATGGACTAGATAGTGACAGTGGGTTTTTGGACCAGGCTAGTGAACACAGTGATCACGAAACAGACAGTGAAGAGGAATGGGACGATGATGACGAAAAAAATTGGCAAATTAATAATTCCGAAACTGGTAGTGAATATTCGGGTGAAGAAAGTGATATAGCTGACTCAAGGGATGTGTTTTATGGCAAAAATAGGTACAAGTGGTCTAAAACTTCTCCCACCTTTTCTCGTACACGTAAGCATAATTTAATTAGTCATTTACCTGGTGCTATTGGAAAAGCTCGAGCTAGTATGCCAGAGAAACCAGTTGATGCTTGGGATTGTATTATTAGCCACGATATATTGCAAGAAATTCTTGAGAAAACCAATGAACGAATAACTAATATGGCTTCTAAATATAATTTACACAATTTATCGTGTCAATATACCAATCATCTTGACATAATTAAATTAAAGGCCTTCTTAGGCTTATTATATTTAGCTGGGGTATTTAAATCCAATAATGAAGATTTAAGGTCTTTATTTGATACGAATGGTACTGGCAGTGATATATTTCGAGCAACCATGTCACTAAACCGATTTTATTTTTTACTTGGAAGCCTTTGTTTTGACGACCCAGCTACTAGACATGAACGTATTGCGCACGGAGATAAACTGGCAGCTATATCCAATATTTTTAATATGTTTATAATTAATTGCCAGTCCAATTATAGCTGTAGTATATATCTCACAATAGATGAAATGCTTATTGCATTTAGAGGAAGGTGCCAATTCAGGATGTATCTCAAAAATAAGCCAGACAAATACGGTCTGAAAATGCAGTGTTTAGTAGACTCTAAGACACATTATTTGCTAAATGGTTTTATATATACCTACTGGAAAAGATACACGCAGAGCAAATCCAAAAAAGTTATCCATCTCCACTCTAGATGTTTTGACACTTATTCCACCAATTTCTGGTACAAATAAAAACATAACAGCAGATAATTGGTTTTCGTCCATTGCGCTCATAAAAGAACTGAGAAGCCATAAAATTTCATATGTCGGAACTCTAAAAAGAAATAAAATAGAGGTTCCTGCTGAATGTCAACCCCAAAAAAACAGGCCACCTAATTCTGCCTTATTTGGTTTTACAGGAAGCGAGAGCCTTGTATCTTTCGTTCCTAAGAAAAATCGTGCAGTGTTGTTAGTGTCAACTATGCATCATTCCAATACAATGGTTAATGGAAAGCCAGAGATTATAAATTTTTACAACGAGACAAAAGGTGGGGTGGATTCATTGGATAAGAAATGTGCATGCTATAAAACTGGCAGAAGAACTCGTAGATGGCCTCAAGTAATATGGTTTCGCGTTTTGGACATTGCAGGATTAAATGCTAACGTAATTTTTAATGGAGTTCAGCAAAATCAAATAATGGAAAGAAGATTGTTTCTAACCACTTTAGTTCAAGAACTTATTAAGGCCCATTTAACTCGTAGAGCTCAGCAAACTTGTTTACCGAGAGAAATTCTTAGTGCCATTTTTAAAGATTCCGGACTTCAGGAACCAATGCCTGCCGCAAATCCAGAGCCACAACGACGAAAAAAGAGGGGAAGGTGTAAAATATGTCCATATTCCAAAAACCAAAAGAAAGAAAGCTCATCGTGCGATAAATGTCGAGATTTTATTTGCAAAAATCATTCCCGCATACAGACGTTATGCATAAGCTGTGTTGAAAATTAAGGTAAAATCATGCTTGTCATTTTTGAGATACGATATCTAAATCGATTTTTATTTTAGGTAGGAGCTATGGTACCTAGATTTCACCATTGGATATAAAAAAACTGCACATTGTTATTACTTTTCTTATAATTCGAGAAAGTGCATAGCTATGTTAATTTTACTGAAAACAAAGTTTTTTTTTTAAATAAAGTTATATCTAATTAACCAAATTCGTTTATTTTTATATACATGTAAAAGTAGCTGTAAACAAAATAATTTAAAATAAAACAAGTTAAAAAAAAGAATATTTTTTGATACAAAAAACAATGGGGGGTCAAATTTGACCCTGCCATGGTACAAATGTTACTATTTTTGGCCAGGGTAGTTAAGGGTTAAACAAAATGCATCCAGAGGACTATTTTTATGAGCGGTGTAGTAGACCGTGTGCAACTAGTGATACAAAAAATTAAACTGTATCTACTGAAAGGTTATACTATATAACAAAAATCAAGTTGCTCAAAAACTATGGGTGATGTGATACAAAAAAACTAAGACCATGTTTCATTTCAGCATATAAAATTCGATAAAAATCAGCTATTGCTATTAAGTTTTAAACCATTTTTTTTTGTCGGACTGTGTCTTTTTACTAAATAAAATCTCAAACAAATTTACGGCTATTTATGCTACGATTCTGCTAACAAAACATCTTTAAAAAAAACTTGACTAAATTCAAAATATGTGCTTGAGATTAGTTTTGAGGTGCCACAAGAATAGTCCAGTAAGTAACTTACAAGCTCTGGCCAATGAACTGTCCTTAAGCCAACGAACGCAACTCCTATCACTAAATTACGTTGCCAGAATTTCAGCAAACAACAGCAACGTAACCTACTCAACAATACTTTGTTACATTACTATACAGAAACATTGCAATAAAAAAATTACCATTTCCTGAACGAATAAAGCGTATTGGCTTATAACAATGTAATATCCAAATACCCAACAACTCATCAAATCTTCACTAATGCTTACAAATGTCATGAAGGACATGTTGCAGCCTACATCTACGAAAACGTCAAGTCTACCATACGAATCCTAACAAATTGTTGTATATATACCGGAGAACTTACGGCAATTCACCGGTCATGAAAAAATGTGGTTCTATGAATGAAAGTAAATTTGTTATCATCACGATTTAATGAGCGCATTACTTGGAATAAAACAGCTATAATACAAATCATGCCATACTTCTCAAGATCAAAGAAGAGTTATCTACAGACTCAACAAAAAGATATTTCCTTTATCTGGGTACTTTCCCATATGGAAATAAGTGGTAATGAGGAAGTGGACTCTCTGGCAAGCAATGCAACCACCGACCCAAGTATTGCTATCATAAATCAAATGACTTGGACTGATCACAAGTAAATATCAAGCCCACATGTACAGAGCGTAGCAACTACTTGGGACACCTGCTAACAAACTCAAAGAATGTCAAGTCAAGTAGGAACCAAACTCATCTTACCAAATAATAGAAAAGACCAAGTCATCATCAACCGACTCCGAATAGGACATACTTTCCTTACACACAAGCATATCTTCAACCAGGAGGCTGCTCCGATGTGTACCAAGTGCAACAGTCAGTTGTCAGTGAAACATAAATTGTTGAGTGTCCAGTGTACCAGAACGAAAGAATCGCGTGTGCCCTTAGTGCTTTAAAAAGTATACTAACGTCAAATTTACAGTCTATTATTAAGTTATCTTAAAATGACTAACTATACACCAGATTGTAAAAAATATTTTTTATGTAAAAATATGTATCTTACTATGTTTGTGTATGTCCCCCCGCCAATAACCCTTAGTGGTTGATGCGGGTATATTTGTTTAAATAAAAAAAAATAAAAAATCAATATAAATGTTCAATATTTAGCTT